GAGGCCATCCCCATAAAGGGGCATGAAGCCTCCCCAGCCCCAAGATGGAGCGGTGGCTGCCTTTTATGCATTTTCCTCAACAACCCTCCCAGTTCATGGGATGGAGTTCCAATGACCCCCAAAAAGTGAATGCTCAAGTGAACTTATTTGCAAACTGAAATAGACTCGCAGACATTGAACACAAACTATGATTGCCACAGGGGAAAGGCGTGGGGGTACGGACAAACTGGGAGCTTAGGATGTGCAGATACATGCTATTATATATAAACAGATAAACAGCAAGGACTTACCGCAGAGCACAGGGAACTATATTCAATGTCTTGTAATAGCTTATAATGAAAAAGAATCTGAAAACACATATAGTCTGTGTATGTATAAGTGAATCACTTTGCTGTGCACCCAAAACTAACACAACACTGTAAATCCCTCTTCAGCCCAGGCTCCCGGGACCACCAGACTCAAAAAGAGACTCCAGATCAACTATTCAAAGGACCAGACTGCACGTGGCCCATTCAACAGCACCTCCGAAAGTCCTGTTTCTTCTGCTTCTTTTTTAAAAAAAGTAGGGAAAAAATAAATTTAAAAAAGTTTTCCAATCTTGGTCAATAAGTAGTAACTAATTCTATAATCAGAAAAAAAACAAAGAAAAGAAAACAAAAAACTTTCATTTTCGGGAAGTTCCTTGCACCCACTGCCCCTTTCCCCACCCCCACCCCCACCCCCACCCCCACCCAGAAGAGTCAGGTGGCAGGGGCTGATTTCTTGGTCGATAACCTGGTAGTTTAGACATCGCATCACCCAACACCAACCAAATCTTCCTGCAAAGGGGTCCCCTTCAGAACAAGGGACCAGAATGGGAAGCCAGTGCCAGGAGCCCAGCGGCCTCGCAAGTCTCCACAGTGCGTCCCTGAAGTGCACGAGACTGCGCCCAGAGCTGCTTGCCCGCCTCTGGGGCTGGGCCGGGGCCCAGGCGGCACAGCCGAGTGCTTTGTAATGCGTGTCTTTTGTTTCGCTGGAGACCCGAGGGGGTGGGGGAGGGCAGGGGGGCGGCTGGGGGGAGTGGGCCGGCCCTCCAAATCCCCACGCCAAACTGTGCACACAGACATGACAGGGGATTGTAAAAACGCACCACAAACAATGTGGCTAATGGACCAGGATCCCCTGCAAAGAAGGTCAAGGGTGAGCGAGGAAGAGCTCAGAGAAACTGGAATCCCAACAGAGCACCCCAAAAGGACTCGCTTTGGGGGATCATCAGTCTCCTTCCTCTGCTGCTCCCCTTCTCAGAAGAGAAAGAGAGAGAGACAGAGAGGACACAAGGAAAGAGAAAGGCTGGACGCTGCCTATCTCCACGGGATAGGCTGTAAGCAATTCAGGCAGAATTTCTTTACACAATGGATGGGTGAAATATGAACCGTGCTGCCAGCATCAGCAGGTCCAGCAAGTCCTGTGTATTCCACTCAAGAGGGCCCTGGACACATTTCAGAAAGAGCAGGGGCTCTGCAGGCTGGGACACTAACTCCCGTCCCGGGGTGACTGTCACACAATACAAGTTAATTTGGGTTTCACGAGGTGGGCGTGGACCTACCCCAGCCCATCTGGAATCTTCTGAACCAGTAG